TCATACAACTAAAGACTAACTTTTTTTCATACCAATTCAACCGCCTACTCGAAAAAATATATGAAACATAACATTTTATTAATGTATTTTCCAATTTTAAGTTCACTGCATCAGATAATATTTTCTATCAATTGGTTTAATATGTTTTTGAGATTAGTAATTTTTTAATCACTAAACGTCAAAGAAAGGTGCAAACATCTTTTGCAAGAAATCCAAATTTTTATGCATTCATTAATTAATTAGTAATTACCAAAGCTAAGATTAGATTAATTAGCAGACACCAAAACTAAAAGATGATAAAAAGCATAGATTTAAGGGGGAAAAAAAAATGACATTCCTCATTGCCCTACTTTCACCTATCGATCCCTACCACTCTCATTGATCTCTTTGTTCTCTTGTTCTTCCCAAAAAGTGCAAAAATTCCTGTTGACTTGAGTTGCAGTGAATCGTCGTCAAGATCCTCTACATGGTCCACAAAGGCAGAAACTCTACCGCGATACTCAAAAGTGTCCAAAAGGACCAAAACCTTTGGATTTCAACACTTTGAACATTAATAATACATTGTCTGGACGGTTTACTAAACCGGTTTCAGGAATCTCCTTTGTGGTTATGGAAATGGAACAAACACAGTTCATGTCCATTTAGGGTTTACAGAGCCAMATCGAGAAGATGGGGTTTGGGGTTTCGATTGCGGTCAAGAGATTTGTTCATCGGAGTCTTCGTTTTCACGAACTGTGACAGTGAGACCTAATCCGAAAGAGATCGAGAAGAAATCCAATCACCCGAAGATGAGATTTTCGACAGCGAACAGATTTGTTCTGATGAAAGGTAACCTTGGAACTGCTTCTCCCTTGTTTTCCATTTGTGGTTGCTGGGTACGAGCTTTCTCTGCTGGTAGCTATGGTTACAGAGAGAAGATTAGAGATGGGATTCTTCAGGATATTAAGTTACATGATGCAATTGAATTGTTCAGAGAGATGGTCGAGTCTCGTCCTTTGCCTTCCATTATTGATTTCAGTAAATTGTTGAGTACAATTGCAAAGATGAACAAGTTTGATGTTGTGATTTCTCTTGGAGAGAAGATGCAAATGATGGGAATTTCACATGATCTGTATACTTACAATATTTTGATCAACTGTTTCTGTCGCCGCTCTCAACTCTCAACGCAAGATACTGTCACGGTCATAGGATTTCAGAGGCTGTAGCTTTGGTTGATCAGATGGTGGAAATGGGATATAAGCCTAATACCGTGATTTTGAAAGGCTGTCAACCAGATCTAGTTACTTACGGTGTTGTCATAAATGGAATATGTAAGAGAGGTGATATTGATTTAGCTTTAAATCTGCTCAAGAAGATGGATGAAGGGGAAATAAAAGCTGGTGTTGCAATCTACAACACGGTCATTGATGGTCTTTGCAAATACAGAAACGTGGATGATGCTCTTGAGCTATTCAACCAAATGGAGAACAAAGGAATCAGACCAAATGTTGTTACCTACAGCTCCCTCATAAGTTGCCTTTGTAGTTATGGAAGATGGAGTGACGCCTCTCGATTACTCAGCAATATGATTGAGAGGAACATCAACCCAAATGTTGTCACTTTCAATGCATTGATCGATGCATTTGCGAAAGAAGGAAAGCTTTTGGAGGCTGAAAGTTTGTACGA